TGAGTTACAGTTTAGTTCGTGCAAACGCCGTGGGGAATGCCGCAACACGCGCACACCACAATCTCTCAAACACTGATCGAATAGAGTTCGTTCACCATCGTTCGTCTTGCATCATGTTGAAAGATAACACTACACGACTTTCCAGGTTGCAGAAGTAATGATGCATAGCAGCAATGGACCGGAACCACCAAGCGCAGCCTGTTTCCTGGACCATCGCGATTGTCTCCGTATGACGAACGTTGATGTTTGGCCCGCTCGCTGTTGACAACCGGAGTGGCGTCATTGTCGTCGGCTGGCTGCAGCATTGCGCCCACATTCCCTACGACCTCTATACCGTCTTCATTAACGTCGCTAATGGCTTCAGTGATTTTTTATATCTGCTTTAATGACCTAACACGCTTTGGGAGCTTCGGGTCAATGTTTTGCAGCGTTTGGTCCGGCCAGAAACAGTCCGATTCCTCGTTGACTTTCGGGCGTGACCTTCCAAGCAGTATCCATGGCATTAAAGTACTATGATATGGTTAACATGTATGTCTCCTGTGAGATTCTAGCGGCTTTGGCATGGACAGTCCATTTTTGGCTGGAGGAATGAACTTGCACGGTCGGAACATTATTTATTCTTAACTTTCAGGACCACGAACATTTTTTTATTCCGAATTCGGAAATTATTCCGCAAAAAAATAACGCTGCATCGCGCCAACCGGCACACGGGCCTTACGGAATGATTTAAATAACCTCAAGAAAAGCCTTTTTTTATATCTTGGGCACCAGTGGGCACCGGATTTATTATTAACTAGATCTAGGGTTACGCGGGCGGGTGTGCCATTTTTCCTCTATACGTACGGGCGCGCGCTTGCGCACTCGTGCGTTCGCTCGCTCGCTTTTGCTCACTCACTCATGCGAGCGAGCGAGCGAACGCGCTCTGGATGGTTTAAGAGGAAATGGTCCGTCAGGGCATTTCGCACTCGTGGGTATTTGTTGAGGCGCTGAACACACTCTGCTGAGGCTGAACGCATGTCACCGTGTAGGGCCATTGACCCACGCACTGATTGACCCATGGGTCGTTCCCGGTCGTTCCAGGCTGTGGTGGAGGTGAAGACTGCTAAGGGTAACCCGTACGTGGCGCTGTACGACGACATCGGCAAGGTGCGTGGCGGGAGGGGCAGGACGTGAAACGGCCTCTTGTACAAATACACAGGTACACAAATGCACAATAAAGAGATAAATGTATATATATGGCATATAACCAACTGGCCTGAAACCGTTTAGGTGATCAGGGGGGCTAGGCGGTTATCTGTTGACACGCCATTCGCCTGTTTTTGGCACGTGCACTTGCGTCCGCATTTTCTTTGTTCCCTTCTTTCAGTACTTCATGCTCTGAGAGGTACTCCTGCCCTACCTGTTCTTTTCTTATTGTTTTGACATAGAAATTTCGGAGCAAAACATTTTTCGTTTTCATTTCCCCTAACTCGGTTTATTACTTCATGGGCTTTTGCTCCCTCCTTTTTCCCCCTACCACGACCCTCCCTGCCGCCCCTGGGCCGTGCAGCTGCTCAGCCTGCTGCGTGCCGTACGCGACCGCAGCGTCACCTTCCGACACGGCGCCTCCCCCCACCGCGTCACCACGCTGGACTTCGCCAAGCGCCTCAGACCCATCTATGTGCTAGGATGCGGCGGCGCTGCCATGGGGCTCAAAGGCTTGGGTGGTGGCGGCAATGGCTCCGCTGCGGCGGCCGCCGCCGCCGCCGGCGGCGGCCCGGCGGCGTCGGTTCTTCGCAGCGCCTGGTCCAAATTGTTGACGGTAGAGCTGGGTAGAGAGCTATCGGCGGCAGCGTCCGCACCCGCCTGGTCGTCAGTCAAGCTGGCGGCACTGAGCCGGGAGACTGTCGTACTGCAGCTGACGCCGGCCGCTTATGAGCCGCTGGCTAGGCGTGTGGCGGCGTACTTTGCGCGGCTGGCGCATTGTGAGGTATACTTGATGGATGGTGTGGCAGGTGACGGCGGCGGCACCGGCGGCAGCGCCGCTGCTGCCGCCACCGTGGCGAAGGAAGCGGTGCCTGTGGATGCTGGTTCCGGTGCCGCTAGCAAAGCCAACGGCGCTGCCATTTGGGGCGCATGAGTGGAAGCTCGGCGTGGAGATCTGTACGTCTTGTATTGCCAGAGTCTGTATGTACATCTATTCAGTAGCAGGACCTGGATGATATCCAACTGTAGGGCCAGAATTTGTACGTTATGTTGTACCATGTCGTGAAAATGTACGGTACCCTTGGGCGAAGTCGATCTGACTTCGATCTACTTTTATTCATTTCGTGTTCGAGGCGTGCAGGCTGAGGTTTGGAGGATGGAAATTGAGACGTCCGTGTGTTTATTACTATTGGTTCTGTGTGGCTGGGTGGCAAGGCAGAGTTGGCGGGATAGTAGTATAAGGGGTAGCAAGGGGAAGGGAAGGGGGCGCATTGCCCCTCCTCATTAAACCACGTGTCCTGTTGTTGATGCCGCTGTTGTTACCGTTGTAATCGCGGTTGCTGCTGGCCTTAATAATTGTCATACATATGCATGTACGTATGTGTGTGTGTGTATGTGTGTGTGTGTGTGTGTGTGTCATACATATGCATGTATGTGCATGCATGCATGCGCCCAGCAGCTGCTGCTAATCGTTTGTCTTTGCATAGGACCGTTGTTATCTTTCCCGTGGCTCTCTCCTGTCGCTATCGTAAAGTTTTAACATTTGATGGAGTGATTTGGATGCTGGGTCACAACCCTGGTCATGTCGTACGTTTGTACAATTGCGTAGTCGAACCTTCCTTATTGACCTTACGGATTTGCTCCCCATGAAGGGCGATCTGGAATGTGTATGTATGTATGTATGTGTGTACATAGATGTATGTACGTATGTATGGGTGTACGTATGGATATGTATGCATGTAACCCTGCAAGTATAGCCCAGCGATACTTCAGTGACTGTGTGTATGACAAAACGAAAAAAAACACTCCAATTAAGGACAAAGAATTTTCCCCCAAAGCACAAGAACGGGATGTACAAGTGATACGTGAATGGCAGGAATTGGCTGCCCGGGCTGGACTGAGTGGCGGCAAACCACAGGATCTCAGACATCACATAGTTTGGAGGCTTTAGATACTCCTCCACATCCACACCGCTCGGGCCTCATGTGAGCTAGGTGCATGCTGCCAGGCAGCGGTATGCGGCAGTATGTCAGACCTCCGGAGATGTGATGGCCAGCACTAAGCATTAGCAGCTGAACGGGTTGGGTTCTAGGCCTGCTGGTCACCTAACGAAGTCGCACCCGGGGAGTTCTTCCTACGGGCAGAAAGCTCAGAAAGAACTCAAAGAACACATGTTCAGGACAAGGGTAACCAAAACCCTGACGAGTCATCCCGGGCTGGGGAGGTCACCATTCTCCAAAAAGCCAAAAACAGAAAGAGTGCACAGAGCTCACACCACAAGACGCCAAACAATCTTCCGAAACCGCTTCCCACCCCGGCATCTCCCTCCCTGGGCTAGTCCAGGGGGGGTATAATGCAGAGGGATTGGGATTGGAGCTGATAGTGGAGTAAGGGGGAATGGAACGAACGGAAAAATCATTTGATGTGCCCGAGTGATTTACGAACATCTGGAGCCGGATGTGGATTTGGATTTCATGTGGGGCGCATGTCTTGCTGAGGTTAACATGCTTGAATCCCCGGCGTCAATTGCAAATATTTTCCTTCGAAGCATGAAAAGACTGGTTGTGCATGCTGTAAGGCGGGCGTGCTGTGTGAACCACGGATGGAGGGCAGGAGACCGGTTGACCAGAAGCCTGCACACAGACCTGCGGGGCCTCATATGGCTGTATGTCAGGTGTGTACATGTAAAGCATGTCAACGAATGTGCGTGCAGAGATGCAGCAGGACGCTGTGAGACCCTTCCAGCAAGCAGGGTTGCCAACGGCAAACCGTTAGCGCCTTCCGAGTCGCGATCGGGATCCTTGCCTCCTAGTTTCCTGGAAAGAACATTTCTCCGTGCTTTTACGTCCTGGAGGTTTGCCGTGCTCAAGCTGCACTTCTAGTAGGAAGAACCGCCTTGAAAACGTGGCTTGCATAGTTTTCCTTGCACCTTGAACGCCTATCCTCGGCGCAAGTATGCACCTAAAATAGAGCGACCGATAAGGCCTGCACCACCTAGGCAGGCGCTCGACTTGCTCACACATCAATCGCGTAGAGAAGAGGACGCTCATCAGGACTTAGAGCTTGTAGCAGCCCATAACCATCAACAAGAACTGCAAATCAGCTCCGGCGTTGTTGATGGGCTTCGCTCAGCTTCAGCACTGGGCGCGAGGTGAGGGCTAGCGTTCATCAGGGGTGGTGTACACCCATCTTCGCTGTTTATGTTCTCGCAACTACTATTAAAAGCAACAGAACTGCTGCTAACCGTCCCTCAAATCTCTGCGCCTTTGCCGAGCAGCCCAATACATGCATGACCGAGTTCGCATGAGCAGCGGCCGTCCTGCGGATCTCCTACTTCCGGATATCAATATCGTGCACATCAAACGATGCTCCCCAGTCCATCCAAAGCATCTTTGTCGGCAGGCTGAGGAGCTTGGTGTCGGTTTCAAATCCCGGGTTCGTACGGCAGGGGATTCTGCGCTGGGCACGTAGGCCTTTGAATCTGGGATGATGTTGACCGTGTACCCCCTCCAAAAATACGTTTCGTCTCTCAAGTCTGATGTTTTGTCTGGACCTATTCCTCGATCACCCTTCATCCCCCACATCCTTCCTCTTCCGATGCCGGATCGGGCACACGCAGGTTGTGGCTAGGACGGAGACGCCGCGGCCCGCTGCTCTGGAGCTGACCCGCGAGATGTCCGTACCGGAAGTGATGACGTGGCTCCAGGTACGCGCAGACCGACGACCTGCTTTCCGTACTAAACCGGCTTATAAATATAAACCTTAAACCCTAGGATGCTTCCCCGTGTGTGCGTTTTTATGAACTGAGCCGCGAAAAGTACAAGTTCAAGTGCGTGTGTGTATGTACGTATGTATGTGTAAAAGAGCGCGCGCATGTGTGTGTGTGCGTGTGTGTGTATGCCTATCTTTTGTATCAGAACGGTGGTAAGAAAGGCGAAGGCGAATCAAAGGTGAAGGCCGCTGAAGCCTGCGGTGTGTGCGAAATGTAACTTCAGTGTGTATACGATACTGTACGAACCGCACCGTAACTACGACAACCTCCGAAGAACTTTGGGGAAAAAATCTAATAATATGACCTTAGGGCATACCTCCCCACCACCTGTTATCTCATAACTCCGCAAGACCTAAACCCTGACCTCCTCCTCTCCCCCCCGCTTCACCCCTAACTACGTGTCTCACCTGCACCGTCCAGGAGGACATTGCGGAGCTAATCAGCGTCTTCGGAGAGCAGCTGGGTGGGTGGGTGGATGGGCGGGTGGGTGGATGGGCGGGTGGGTGGATGGGCGGGTGGGTGGATGGGCGGGTGGGTGGATGGGCGGGTGGGTGGATGGGCGGGTGGGTGGATGGGCGGGTGGGTGGATGGGCGGGTGGGTGGATGGGCGGGTGGGTGGATGGGCGGGTGGGTGAGCGGTGGAGGAGGTGGCCGGCAGCAGACCTGTGGGTGGATGGGTGGTGAGGGATGGAGAGGCGGCCCCCCCAGTTGCCGCAGCAGCTGGTGAACACACCCCACACATACACCTCCACCCTACACGCCTAATCAGGCTATCAAGTAGCAGGCGGTCGTGAGCCCAGTCACGGCAAGAACAAGGTGTCGTACGCACCGCCCCGCTCCAATCTACACGGCATACGACACGAGGAAATGAACTCGTCCCCATCAAATTTAGCCCGGAGGTTTCGTATCGAACCTTACGAGTCCCAAAAAACCCTCGGACCCCCCTCAACACACATACATACATACACACATACACACACGCATAGGGTACTCCCGAGTTTCAGCAAAGCTGGAGGTGCTGGGCAGTACACCCTGCCCCCGATTCCACGCGGACCACGTGGGTATACGACTGCTGGTGACGTACTACGGCCCTGGCACGGTGTATGTGGAGAACAGGTAGTTAACCCGGCAGGGCAGGAACGGGGGGGGAGGTGGGATGGAGTATGCGCTGAATGCGACATATCAGCTGCCCAACCAATGCAGGGCGTCCTTAGGGGCGTTTCCTTGGGGGGAAAGTTCTGGCATGGTAGGGCGAGGTAGGCATGGAGGATCCTGGGTAGATTATAAAATACTCCATATTTTTAATAGAGTATTTAACAAATTTAAGTCTTGTATACTATACGAACATTTTATGATGTACTTATCTGATGTCAATGAAGAGTCTCATGACAGTGAAGAAGTATGTACATGAATTCTTTTCATATAGGTATTTTACTATTATCAAAATATGTTATGAAACGCGAACTTAGGTCCCAGAGGTCCCCAGGCAGGGGAGGATAAGGTGTCAGCACTGAACAAGTGCCGGGAAGGGGGGGAGGGTGTTGATGAAGCTCGGGGGGGATGGCGGCGAAATAAGGTTCGCTGAGTCTCGTTCAACACCCTTAAACTTCGTTTCTCCCCATCACCCATCACCCTCACTCTCAATCTCAATCTCACACTCTCCATGCATAGGCACGTGCGCCGCCGCTGGCTATGGGGCGGCAGTCGAGGCGGTGGGGTCGCGGTGGAGGCTGCAGATGCGGCGGCTGCTCGCCAGACTGCCGCCGCCGACCTGCTCTTTCTCAAGGGCCATTCGGCAGGGGGTAACTACGGCATGGGTGCCGTACATCGGAGTCCAGATCTGTACGACACCGCAGGCCAGCACCTCCCTGCCCAAATCCCCGCCCCCTCGCCCCCCCAGCCCGATGATGGCATGACCACGTACACGTATCCGTACAGCAGCTGCTGGGGCCGGGGGCCCGCAAACAAAACACATGATGATGAAAGGCTCGGAAGACTGGGAAAGCACGGAATTTCCCAACCGTTGCGGCTGCTGCTGACTGTAGACGATGTGGTGGGGCATACAGGTAGCGGATGTGGGTGTGGGCAGGTGCACGAGGGACAGCCGGAGGGCCGGGGTAGGGGGCAGGAAGGTAGGTACGGCGAGGTAGGGCAGATGTTGTTGGCGAGCGGAGCAGCAGCAGCAGCAGCAGCACCGGAAGGTGGGAAAGGGGAGGAGGAGGAGGAGGAGGAAGAGGAGGCAGGGGCTCATCGGCCTGATGCATCGTGCTTGGTACAGCCACTGCCGCCATCGCCACAACAGCAGCAGCCGCAGCCGCTGGGGGGATGGTTCAGGGCGAGGAGGTGGTAGAGGAGGCACGGATTCGGCACTACGTGGGTCATTATTGGTGGTGATGATGGGGTGGAGGGGCAAAAGGAGGGAAAGGAGGATGGAGAGAATGCTTGCGTCATTCAGTTGGCCCGCCTATCCATGCGACAACTTAGCAGCACTTGTTTGCAAAGTAAACACGGATTCACACAAAGCAATCCCATGCAGAACCCCTCGCTCGATGATTGCCAGATTATAAACATTTAAAACACACACACACACACAAACACACACTTTACCGGTCAACAGATGTTCTTTCAAGGAAATGATAGCGAATGTGGAACGACTTACTCGCTAACATTTCCTTGAACACACTCGCTATCATTTCCCGAGACCTGCACACGGGCAAGGGTGGTATTGCATATGCATGCAACCGCCTTCAACAGCAGGGGTCGATTGCTCATGGGTCACACACTTGTTTAAATCCGATGCAGCCCTGTGCCCATTTTGGACGCTACATGAACATACGCATGAACAAACACTAACAACAACGGCACGCTGTTCTTGAACGGCCAAGGAGCGTCGCCTAGCAGTGTCAGCAGTCAAACCATTATCATTTAACCTATCAACTTAATGGCGCGTGTAAAAGTGTTTTGGCAGTACGGGCTTGAAACATGCAACATGCGGGAAACTGCCTGGCTCTCTGGGACGTGGTACGCGGCGGCCCCCAACAGCGCCACCGATGTATTGCTGCGCGCCGATGAAGCATGGGTTGGACTGAAGTGCCGCCGCCAGTGATTTTTTTTTCATTTAGGGGGGGTCTCAATTTATTCCGACCTAAGTAACAAAGTTGCTAGCGTCGCCGTAATGTATTCCTTAAGAGTGGGGCGCTGGGGGGGGCTACGCCCCCCCCAGACCCCCCCGATAAGTTACAACTCCCCTCATAGACCAAGAGGCACGCACTGCGTTGGCGCGTTTTGTCTGCCATCTGTGGGGGTTCTCTTTCTGCTTGTCCCGCCATGCACCGTCGCTCATGCCCTTGCGGATGCGCTGTGTCTGAGCCCGCTTGGCAGGGTTAGGCGCCTCGCCGCATTCGTTGTTGTCGAGCTGATTGGGTGACAGCTTGCGCTTATGCTGATCACAACCGCCATGGAAGGCAGGGGTAATGGCGCCCGTGTCATCGGTCGCCGCTGGCAGCAACACCATTGCCGATGCATTACCGACAACAGCACCGCCGTCCCAAACGCCTCTATCAGGAAATATTTCAGGCTTATCTTGCTGTTTTGGTGTTTGTTCGGCGTTCAAGTCGTTGCCTTTTGCGTGTTTGGCTATGTAAGGACCGGTCATACATTCTGCTATGCCGCGTTGACTCACGGGCTTGACCTTCTTACGGCCTCTCATATCTATTCTATGATCGATAATACTAAGTTCTGCACACTACGGAGCAATCTGGCAGCAATGGACGTTTTTGGCTGGAGGAATGAAAATGTACGGATCGGCCTCAATTTGTTCCTTATTTCCAAAGGCCAAAATGGCCTCTTTATTCCTTAAAAGGAATATATTACTTAAAAAAAAACACTGGCCGCCGCCGCCACCAACGCCACCCAGTGCACCGAACCTTCCTTCACCTTTACCGCCACAACTACCGCAACCGCCACAACTGCCGCAACCGCCGCAACTGCCAGGCAAGCGGGGGAGGACCGGCTATTAACAGTGTCCATGGGAGGCCCCCAAAGGCGTTTTTTGGCAAGGCCCCGCACTTGTGCGGAACTTTCAACACCTGTAATTTGTATAAATCACTGCATATTACCACATGTTCGGTCGGTCCACAAGAGTCGCTAACTTGTAGCTAGGCACGTATGCTAGCATGTGATACAACAGCATGCGGCAATATTAATGCCACATGCAGGCGAGCACACGTGCCTAGCTACAAGTTAATGCCACATTTAATAACGACGCATTCGAATGATACTTAGCATGTATCGGTAAGGGACGACTGTGTGCTCTCTCGTATAACACCGCCGCCAGTCCCGCTGCCTGCATGCCCTGCATAAGCGCGTACCCTTTTCATCCCCACCCCACCCCATCCCCAATACCCATTCACACATCTCCTACATCGGTCCGTTCCAGCCAATGCATCGATGTGGTGCGATGGTTGGTACGACGGGTGGATGTCATGCTGTGGTGTGCATGCGCATGGCTGGTGGCGGCGTGCATGTGAGGATGTGATGTGCGAGCGAGCGCATCGACCACCCTCGGCTTCCGCAGGGCGGCTTCCTGGCTGAAACAGGCTGACACACACAGGCTGTGTGTGGGGTGGGGGTGGGGGGTGGGGTGGGGTGGGGGGTGGGTGGGTGGGTGGGGGTGGGTGGGTGGGGGTGGGTGGGTGGGGGGTACAGGCTGTGTCTGCTGCGCTGAGTCCAGCGCGCTGCTTCCGCCACCTATACCTCCCATTGCTTGCTTATTCCTGATTTTCGTCAAACGTTGATGCGGATGAACAATTTGGTTAAGAGGGAATGAAGCTGTCCGTCGTTTAAAAAATGTTCCCGCCAACAGGGGTTCGATACCAGCGGTATCACACTCGATAAGAATTATGTTAAATGCTGATATGCGTGACGAAGCCTTAATGATCAATAACCTGCTGACGAGGAAGGAGCAGCAGTGGGTACTCTGGCATTTCGCGAGGTGCATGTCGTAAATGTTCATTGTATTGCGTTTCTCGCATGTTGTCGGAATACCAAACAAACTACTGAAGGTTCTACCCTGCAGATACACAGCCCACGTCTTAACACACTTCTAGGAAAAAACATTTGCGGCTGCTAGTCGCAGACTCGAATTCGGGTCGAAGCACGCAGATGGGTTTGGGAGTGCAGCTTGGATAGCGCGGATTCTCCGCAAGGTCCAAATCCGCCCCCGGACTGCCGGTTTGTGATCATCATATACCATAGTTATTAATACATAGCCTGAGATGTGCTTAAGAATATTAGGACGCGCCGAAAATGGGTGGCACTAGGATGGGCCGACTTTGGCTGATGAGCAAGGAGCGGGCTGCTAAGCTGACCGTCGCCTGTAAGAATGGCATAAGTTGTTGTTACCAGAGAGGGCCGTACAGCTATGGTCGTACAATTGGGAAATGGTTGAGATTCAAAAAGCCTTCAATGCAGAAGAGCACCAGCACAGACCTTTTCAACAATCACAACCACCAAGGTTGCACCGCACCGGCATTATAGCCCCTGTTCGCAGGTCCTCACGGCCTGCTAGGAATTTAGGCACAGGCAGACCGCCGAGAGGCAGGGCCGAGACAAATCCCTTCCGGAGCGTAATAGCCGTCGTACAGTACGAGACACACTTAAACAATAAAGCGCACTGCCATCGTTTTTCGCATCCGGCATCCTGTTGCCTTGAGGAATAACTAAGTTAGCACGGTTAACCCTAGGAACAGCATCGCTGCGGTCGTGTTCCTCCCGGATTGGAATCACATGGAAGCGGATTCTGAGCGGACAGCACAAGACAGCTGTAAGGGCAAGCTGCTGAGCTCTGCTGCCCTCCAACCAGAGATAAAGAGAGAGAGAGAGAGAGAGAGAGAGAGAGAGAGAGAGAGAGAGAGAGAGAGAGAGAGAGAGAGGGACGGTAGCAAACAGCACTGCACATGGACGGTGTGCTAATCAGCAGCTTTGATTATTCGGGTAGAGCCCCCAATGCATATACGTACATATCTGGAAAGGCTGCTTCGTGCGTAGGTGGGCGCAAACGATCTGTTCAGCGCACGTTTGACTAAGGTGAGGCCATCGCTTTGATTTGGAGCCGCTATCCATCGAACAGTCAAATGTAGTGAAGTAATCAAATATTTTAATCAGGTAGATTAATATGCTGTCGGACTGCGAATGCGGGGCACCGGATGCTAATTCCGTTGAGACCGACAGTTACTAATGAAATCCTCTTTAAAATCCTAACAAGCAAAGATAAATAAGCTGCATTTTATGTCATACACGTACGCCCTGCAATGTCTGACAACTTGCCACGGCCGGCGTCTGAGTAGTGCCTGTCGTACTGTCCCGTTTCCTGCCTTAGGTTACCCACTTAGTTTTTTCTCAACAGCTGTTATACCGTCCTTGTATTGTATTTTCCCAATGTATCCTATTTCGATTCAATAAATTATCTACCACTTCGGCTTGCAGGTTGAAGCGTCTGACTGTACTTTCACGTTGATCCCTTTGCACAAAACATAAAGCCTGTTATAAGGTTATATTGGGGTACCTTATCACCTATACCTAGCACCGACAGTAAAATTGGCCTTCTGAAGTGTCTGACAAATACATTCCCAGCTCAATATGCGCCTCCTATCCTGCTTGTTTTGCTCTGGAGCGCAGCGAAGGAGATCAGGAGAGGATTCTTTGTACCGTGAACAAAATGTTCGCCCAGTGCAGATGTCGGCAGGAGAGGCGACGACTGGGGCTCGTGGCATGCTGCCTCCACCCCCGGAAGCAGCAGAAACAGGAATGCACAACCTGGACAATACTTCATGTGTTACAAATGCCCACAATCTTCCGGGCAATCCCGATAAACCAGCTGACGCCTTTGGGGGAAGCCCTTCTTCCGCGCCTCCCACAGCGACATTAGCCTCGCAGCTCGTAAATGGCCTGACGTTCAGCACACGAGTTCTCGGAATCGGGTCATACGGAATCGTAGTACAAGGTAAATCCTAGACCTCTCACTCCTCTCCCTGCTGCTAGGACCGCACAAACCCGTCGCCGGGAGGCCTAGCTTCCCTTCAGGCGAACACTTCAAGTCATCGGGTTTTCCAACTTTCCATTATCGTCCTTGTCGGCGACTCTGTTTTGACCAGCCCTTCCCACCTGCAGGCCCAAGCACACCGTCACACACCCTCCTTTCAACAACCTTCTTGATGCCCCGCAATGCAGCTGATCGACCAACTGACAACGGCAAAATCCTTCCTCCCACCACCGCAGGATCGTTCGACGGCCTCGACGTGGCCGTGAAGTTCATGGTCTCGAGCCGCCGTACAGGCCGCGCTGCCGTACATGAGATGACCCTTGGCGCCATGCCCGCCCTCAGCCACCCCCATATTTGCAAGGTACATCTATCCGCTTTTCCCCCTCTCCTCCTCCTTTCCCCCTCTTCCTCCCCCCGTCGTCTCCGCGTTACCTAACCGTACTTTCCCTACACACTGCGCCGTACTGCCGTACAGTCGTACGACACACGCAGTGCTGTAATGACCGACGCGCTGTTTGATGAGCTGGAATCGCATCGCAAGTGGCAGCAGCGGCGGCTGCAGCGGCAACGCCAGATGCTACAACAGCAGCAGCCATGCGTGACGCTGACGACGGCGGCGCCACCAGGCACCGACGGCGACGGCGCCGCCGCCGCAGCCGCCGTAGACAGTACCCTGCTGCAGTCGGAAGAGGACGTGATCCGGCGGCAGACACAACAGCCGTCCCTCTCGCGGGTGCCGCTTAATCCGGACGGCGAGCGTGTACTGCAGTTTTACAAATACCGGGACGGTGAGCCTGCGACGGTCATTGCGCATGGGGGAACAACTGGGGTTGAGAGGGGTTAGCGCTACACGGGCTACACGGGTGTGTTTTGCCGTACATGCCATGTACGCGTGTGGACCAAACACCAGCTGAAGACCAACGTTCCGCGCACCCACTCTTGAACCTCTTGCAACCCCTGCAGGTGTGTACGACAATCCCGTACATCCCCCCGATCGATTGCGTCCCCTGGAGTCCAACGCGCCCCTTGCCGTACTGCACGAGATTCTGTTTCGGCTAGGTGCAACTGTGGGTCATTCCGTAACGCTCATCATTATGGAGCTCTGCGGGAAAGGCACCCTTTCCCGGGCCATCCATCGCGGTATCTTCGCGCCTTGTGAGCTTTGGAACGCACGCGTGGCGCAACGCGCACTAATCCGTACGGCAGCAGAAATTGCACGTGCACTGCTGCACCTTCACAAGTCGGGTGTCGTACACGGTGACATGAAGGTAGGGGCGTGGAGGTTTGTCGGGGGAAGGTGTGCGGAAGGGCATCGAAGGTGCGCGTCACTATGTTTGTCGTACCGTGGATGCAAAACCTGTACACCACTGCAGAGGACAATGTAATCACACAGTACAGTGCCCTTTGCGGTGGTGTGTGTGTGTGTGGAGGGGGGTTTAGTTGAAATCCGACCGCCAACTGCCAACTGAAGCCCTGGGAATTGTCATTGAGACCGTTCTTTTGCTACAGACGTCGCCGGCATGTACATGTGTATGTATGTGTGTACGTGTGTAAGTATGCGTGTCTGTATGTCTGCGAGTGCCCATACTTTCCTCGGTGTGTGAATGGACTTATGCGCACGTGTCGGTATGTCCGTACAACCCGGTCCTTTCCCCTAGCTCTCTCACACCATACCCCGCCAACCCCCGGCCGCCCCGCCCTCCGTACGGCACACTCAAACCCGCAGCCGGGCAATGTACTGCTCAAGTCATCCAGGGGAGACCGCCGAGGCTTCATTGCGAAGGTGTGCATGTATGCATGTATGTATGTGTGTATGTATGTATGTATGTATGACTTAGATTACACTGTGGCCGCGAGAGCCGGGGGCCGAAGCTCAAACACAGCGCAAGGGTCGGGAGCACACAGCACAAGTCGGTTAGTCTTGTGTGCTCCCGACCCCGACTCAGACTGCCAACACTCTACGAAGCCACTCCGCAGTCCCTCCATCCGGGGATGGCGCTGCAGTGAAAACACCACAAAGGGCTTTCAGGCCCCGCTAGAGCGAGTAGTATGTATGTATGTAATGGCTGGGTTTCCGTGCCATGAGGTGGCTTTCGTTTCGTTCTGGATCTCCACATACAACACGTGCACATACACATACACGCCCCCACGCCCCCACGTCCCCACGTCCAACCCTCGTCTTGCAGATCGGCGACTTTGGTTTGAGCCATCTGCTGCCAGCTGGGGAGAAATCCTTGGATACGGACACGTGGGGTACCCCGTCGTACATGGCTCCGGAGGCACTGCTGGGGCACGCCAGTACGGCATCAGACGGTACGACACTTATTCGGAACTTGACGGACTAGTGTCCCAGAGGTTTGGGTGGCATGGATGCACATCGACAGGAATGCACATATTGGCATACATACATACATACATGCGGCGGCCAGCGGCTCGCCCCGGCCGCTTTCTCCAACGGCAACCCCCCTCCAGCGCATCTTGTACTTGGCGGCCATCATAAAGACTGCTGGTTGCTTCCCGTCCGAGCGGAAATCATGTGGGGTAGTGCAGCCAGCTTGTCCCGGTTCCATGACGGCATGGGCGGGTCACGGAGCGAGGGAGAAAGGACTGGCTCCTCCGTCGAGACTGCTGGGGTTTCCAGTTCGCCACACTACCTTGCTCATATCGCGGCTATAGACCCAGCGGGTAATCCATTTCACACATCGAAATAACGTAAGCCCTGCAAATGCGAAACCGCTTCGACGCGCGACCACCTGCAAGTTTCTCTCTCAACGCCAGAAGGGCTTCCCGGCGCAGGACACTGCCTGGGTGATAGATTTGGCGGTTGTCAGAATGCTGTGTCCTAATTAGGTGCGGCACGGAGTACGGGACGGTGGAAGCCATGCACCGTTCATGGTCGTGTGATGGTTGTCAGTGTTAGGCCAAAACCTAGGACAACAGAGGTGTATGTAGTGTCCTAATCAAGCCTCAATAATATCATCCTGGAACCTAAAGCCGCCATTAAATAACTATAACAATTACAACTGCAGCAATAATAATAATAATAATAATAATAATAATAATAATAATAATAATAATAATAATAATAATAATAATAATAATAATAATAATAATAATAATAATAATAATAATAATAATAATAATAATAATAATAATAATAATAATAATAAGAAGAAGAAGAAGAAGAAGAAGAAGAAGAAGAAGGAGAGCGCAATAATTATCGCAATTGCAACCGCCACAACCATCCCACAGTTTGGAGCTTTGGCGTCATGTTGTCGGAAGCGCTGACGAAGCAACTGCCGTACGGCGGGTCTATCGAGCCAGGTACGTCATTGATGGGGGCGAACAGACCAAATGGAAGTGGCAAAGTTGTGGCTGGGGTTCCGTTATGCCCCAGGCGCAGGGGTTGCTGGCGGGGTGGGAACCGGTAATTTGTTTTTCGCTGAGCTACCGCCAAGTAGGAGAGTTCGAAACTGAGGAGAGTCCTAAAACCCGTAAAACTCAACAGCGCGCGATCAACAAGGTGCATGGCCGAGAGCTGTTTCGGGTGGCCATAACTAGGAGTTATTGCGTTTGGAGTTTATGAGTTCTCAAGTTTGTTTGGAAAGAGCTGATTGAGCGTCGAAACGTCTCCGTCAACCTTAACTCTCTTTTCCCTCGGGCTCGCGGTCCCTTCCATACCACATATTCGCCTCCTGCTGTCTGTAACCCATGGGTCATACGTGCAGCCCGACTGGTGGTTGGGATCCTCGACGGCTCCCTGGAGCTGGCTTGGCCCGCCGTACGCATCGACGGCCTTGATATGTACGACGTCTCCAACGGCAGCGGCGGTCCCTCTACCGTGCCTGCGGGTGCGGCAGCTCGACTTGCACGACAGTACGGACTGGTTTTCCCCGCCACAACCTTACGGAACGCCATCGCGACCGGTGGCGGAACCGCCGCCAGCAGCATCATGGGCACGTCTGGCTCGACAGAGTGCGGGAACACCAGCGGTATGACACCCTTCATTGCCACCGTCACCTCCGTCGCCACCACGACGATGCTGGGGATCATGACGGGAACCGACGAGATGGCCCATGTAGCCGGTGCCGCCTCCGCTGCCAGCGCCAGCAACGGCAGCGCCTCCGCTGCGACTGCCGAGGAGGAGGCCGATCGTATCTTGGCCTGTCTCGTACACCTCGGCCGCCGCTGCACGAGCCGGGACCCCGTAGACAGGCCGTGCTTCTCCGAAATCTTGGGGGAACTGATCGACATGGAAATCGTCCTCAAGACCTCTAGACCGATGCGGAGTGGCGGCGGCGGCAGCGGCAGCGGCGGCGGCGGCAGCAGTAGCAAAAGCGACGCGCGAGAGGTCGTCGCTCAGAAGGCGGGCGCGCGCGCCCGATCCCGTTTGGCGTTAGGGGCACCCACGGCGGCGGCGACGCTGGCGGCTGCGGAACCGCCGGCAGACGTTCCCGGCGGCGGCTACAGCCGAGCAGTTCGCGGCGGCGACGACGACGGGTCAGTGGTTAACGGCGATGACGGCAGCAGCGGCGGCCCCAAAGCCTCACGTCAGCTGGCGGCGGGGCCGGCGGAGGTGGCGGCAGCTGCGGCAGCAGTACCAGGACCGCCGTCACCGCGGGACAGGATGGAGAGTTTCCTCGAGCTGGTGAGCCAGCAGGTGGCGTCCACGGCAGCGCAACAGACGACAGCTGCCGAGCTAGAGGCTGAGGCTGTCGGACAGGCTATGTATGACCCGTTGCCGCCGCCGCCGCCGCCACTGCCGCCGGTGGTGGCGCTGGCCGCGCCAGTGTCGTCGATGACCCAGGAGGAACAAGCTCAAGACGATGTGGGGCAGGTCGTGCCTATGACTTTAATTCGACTGCCTGGAAGAGAGCTGTCCCTGGCGCTGGACGGATCGCCGTCGCCGGATGCGGCGGCTGTAGCGTCGCGTCCGTCATCGACTGAAGCAGCGGTCGAGCCGCCGCTGCAGCTGCTACTTGATCCGCTGCCGGCACCGCCTCTGGGCAGCGGCAACATCTGGATGGCGGGCCGCGCCGTGGGGCCTATGTTTGTGGGGAACTATGTTGGCGTGGTTTCGGGGCCGGGTCCCGGCACACCGGAGGTTTCGGAGCACTGCTGCGTGGTGTCTAAAATTTCCCTGGAGCTTCTGCCATAATTGGCGGCTCACGGCTATGATGTGATGTAACTTATATTTTGGGAATCTACTTTTCAAGGGGGAGGAGGAGGATGAAATAGAGGAGGGGGAGGAGGAGGAAGTGGAGGAGCTGATGCCCTCCCAGGTGTGTAGCTTTCTGCATGCATGTATGTATGTATGTATGTATGTATGTATGTATGTATGTATGTATGTATGTATGTATGTATGTATGTATGTATGTATGTATGTATGTATGTATGTATGTATGTATGTATGTATGTATGTATGTATGTATGTATGTATGTATGTATGTATGTATGTATGTATGTATGTATGTATGTATGTATGTATGTATGTATGTATGTATGTATGTATGTACGTTGATTACACTGTGGGCTGAAAAGCCGGGGGCCCAGGGCCGAAGCACAGCGCGGGGGGCGGGTGCATACGGCTGGTTAGTCTCATGCACTCCGCCCCCGGGTCAGGCCGCACGGGAAACGACGGCCGGCACGCAACAGCGCTTGTTTGGCGCTCCAACTAGACGGGATCTATGCCCGTTGGTCTCCTAACATAAACGAAGTCGCAACTGGGGGGCTCTTCCTGCCGACCGAACGAACCGAGCATCTCAGAGAGA